TCGGTATTCCCAGGCGGTCACCCATCCAAGTACTAACCAAGCCCGACGTTGCTTAACTTCAGTGATCGGACGAGAACTGGTGTGTTCAACGTGGTATGGCTGTAAGCGTACGATACTCTTCCACTTATCCATTTTGTTATGTCAGAACTATTCATCATATTTTAGCTATAGTTAAAAGACTAAATCGAGATGGAAAAATGAAAATACTTCCGAGTACACTCCCATCTTGTTATAGAACTCACCCATGTCATTGTCTGTTGTAACTAAATGAGACAAAAGAAAATTTAATCTTTGACCGTGAAACGGACATTGTTTTCTGATATATTTTAAAATTCATACAATTAATTCTAGACTTTTATGTTCTGAAAATAATTCAAACTTCGGAAAAGTTACGCCATGAGTATCATGCCAAAGAAAAGGTGTAACCTTTTTTTATATCAAAGCCACCTACAGACGTAGGTGAACATCCTTTGCTGACCTGCCTTTCAAGAAACTGCGCATTGAACTCCTAAAGAGATCATGTTACTATAATATAACATGAAATGACTAATATTTAGAGTAAAACTTTAGGAACTTTTTGTTTAAAGTTGAGAATACGACATACTTTCTATCCTTGCATATTCGGTTTGGGGACACGATTATATATATGTCGCGAGCATCTATGAGTAATTGAAATTAAACAGTTTCATGTTGTTAAAATCCTTTTTCCATGAAAAAAGAACAGTAGTTTTCATTCATTCATGAAAACGAGATAAATGTGATGCTTCAAGTGAAAAAATAATAAACTAATGTATGGTCTTCTATTCTTCTATGCTTTTATTAAGTATCTTTCTTATCTAACACAACGAAACTCTACTAATTCAGACATAATAATGTAACTGTGCAGGTCTTTTCTATAATACATATCTTTTCAATATATATTGTTTATATTATCGGTGAGTGTTACTGCTCATATTGTGTTCTCAATAAGAACAGAGTTTCAATAAAGACATTATCTTTTTCATCAGTTATATTTTCACTCTCAAAAAAAAAATACAGAAAGAAATTATAGTTTCTTTTTCATGCGTTCGAGGTTTTCTCTGAAGATTTTAAGTTTAGGATGATATGATGGTAATGATTGTTGTTCAGTTTGTACAGCACATTTAAAAAATGTATGGACTTTTGAATAGTTACCCATATACTTATACACTAAAATCAGTAGTAATCATTTTATGGAATCAGTAGTATGTGCATGTTAAAAACTGCAAAATACTGCTTCAATGACCCTTTACACATCAAAAGCATGAATAAATAGTAGTATCTGATGGAAGGATATGATTGTCTTTTCTTCATCCTGACTCGTACCCACATTAGTATATCCTCAACTAATGATCAATAATTCAAATGAAACATTAAATTGTTCTCTTTTATTTATTTAAATAAACAAAAAAAATTTCTTTATGATTAGAAGGAGATTAAAATATGAGCGTGTTTTGTCTATATGTAAGTAACTAGTGTTCAGAATTAATCAGTAGTACAATAATTTAATTATGGGAGTTGATATTGTTGTACTCTATGGTTGTCTATATCACTCACATATAAGAATGTTTCATCCATATCCAAGATAACATTAGAAGCTCCATTGAGCTGCGTCGCGTTAATACCGCTTACTCCAGTAGTACCTACGACAGTTATTCCAGTTGTTGCTCCAACACTCCATCGTTGAATTCGATGATTAGCCTTGTCAGCAATATAAATATCACCTGTCTTCTTTGAAACACATACACCATATGGTAGATTAAGCTGATTACCGGCGGATCCTTGTCCATTTCCACCTGCTACTGTAGTGCCATTGGATGGTATATCCACACGATATCGTTGAATTCTATGATTTTTAAAATCAGCAATATACAAATAAGAATTACTTTCGTCGAGGTACAATCCATATGGCTTATTAAGATGTTGATTGTCACTACCTGCCACACCTGTTACACCGGCCATGACTATAGCAGAAGTTGCGTTTACTGCCCATTTCATTACTCGATGATTATTACTATCAGCGACATAAATGTTTCCCTGCAAATCGACGGCCAACCCAATTGAAACACTTATTAGCATGATTGAACTTCCGGAAGTGCCGTTGCCTGCTGCTATAATACCAGATGATGAGTTATTACGCCATAACATCACTCTGAAACTGTTAGTATCGACAATATATATATTCGAAGCTGCATCGACAGCAATTTCTGCTGGATAAGTGAAAGTAGTTGCAGTGCTACCTGATACTCCTGTTGTACCGGCAACGATTGATCCTGTTAGATTTCCTATTTTCAATTTCATTATTCTGTAATTATATAAATCACTAACGTAAAGCTGATTGTTCGTGGTAATTGCCAGTCCCCAAGGATTTCTTAGAGCGTTATTTGCATTTCCTGACGTTCCATTACCGTACCCTGCTACCGTAACACCATGGAGAGGAAGTAATGCTAAAAAGATGGTAAACAAAATTTTAGTGAGGTATTAAACATGTATTATTTAATAGAAAACTCAGTGTTACTCAGTGAAGTATGACATACAAAGTATAGTGAAAATATTGCATAATACATAAGAAGCTTCAAGACCTTTACCTAGTATTAGTTACATGACTTGTACTCTAACATAGACAAACTTTAGATATGTGTTTAGGAGAATTAGTTCTAATTTTCAAATAAGGATTATATCAGAAGATCGTATAAATTGGCAAAGACATTTAGAAAAGTATTTAATCTCCAATCTTGATCTGAAAATCAATTATCTAAGAAATTTATCTAATTGAGATTTCGCTACTGAAGGAAATCGAGAGCTTAAATAAAAAGAATATATTCATGTAAAAAATATTTTGATTCAGAATTAACGAATACTTCTTTGCTAACTAGTTTCTAGTTATTGACATGAGACATACTTTGCAAACAGTAATTTTTATCATGTTAATATTATCGCTTAACTTTATCTATAATATATTTCTAAATATTTCAAATTGAGAAAAACTTATCCTAAACTCCCTTTTGAAAAAATATCTGTTGTTGTTACTTACGAGGCGATAGTCGTCGATCATCGATGACAGTCAAAGTTACAAAACCTGCCTGTGCTACTAAACTACCATATTGACTTGGGATATCAGAGAATAATTGACAAAGACCGGTTGATTTAGCATACGTGAGTGTACGACAGTTACCAAAAGCTAAACAAGCCATATGACAACCTTCAATGTTGAATACAAATCTAGTCGTAAAGGGTGAACAACTAAGATCAACACATTGGTATTGGACATCATTTATTTTCGTCAATAATAGTGTATGCAAGTTTTGCAGATCAGATTCTCTGATAATATTCAGTAAAAACAATACAATTATGTATTTCATGTTGAATTAATATTAATTACTAAAAAAATGAATCTTTTCTTGAAGAAAGTGAGAACAACTTTTATGAAAATAGGAAAAAGGAATGATGGTCGTCCAATATTTTCTCTAAACCTTTTTTTTATTTATAAGTACTTCCTACGGCAGTTAATATAAATGAGAAAAAAAGATTGTTTTCTTGTACTCTCAGTACTTTTTTGTTTTTGTTAATTTTCACAAGAATAAACAATTGCTAGATGTGAATATATTAAATACAAATCTAAAATCATTTTTCTTTAGAAACTTAACTTCTTAATATTTTTCAATCTCTTGAATCATCAAAGTTTGTAATGAAGAATAAAAGAAAGGAAATAATACTGTATAAGAAAAAACTATTAAAAAATAAATAATTAAATATCAAATATAATTACGGAAATATATTTATTAATCATTTTTCTATTTGCTTTTTTTTTGTTCT